ATGTTTAGACATATTTTAAAATCCATGCTCTATTCAGATTAACACAAACCATATTTTTAAATTTTTAAATAGTTTTTCATAGTAAAAATAAGTGGACTTTTAATAAAAAGAAAACCATAGTGAATGAAAAGCAAATGTCCATTTTTCTGAAACCTTGATAAGGTTTTTTGAGACAACACACTTTTTTTTAGCTAAACAGCTGAATTTGAATTGCAGCTGAATTTGAATCTAAAATCTCAAATTCTATAAATGTCTAAGAACACAATATCATTTTGGATGATTTGAAAGTGTAAGACGGTGATGGAACTAATGTAAACACTGGAAGCAAGGGTGATGTTATTTGATTGATTGAGTTGAAATATCAACGGCGTCTTCAATGGGTAGTTTGTTTGCTACATGCAAATGAGCTTTCAATACGTCATTTGTTTGTGGAATTGAATGGACCAAAATCTGGCTCTATAAAAAAGTCTCTTGTAACTTGTGAGGTTTTAAAGGTTGTTAATTTTCAATCTATAAATCATAATGTAAAAATATATCAGAAGTTGGACTAAAAATTGCTTATTTCAGATCAGCTTAACCCTGTAATACTGCCTTAATCTAGATGGCTCATGTGGCTCATCATCAAAAAGGAGTCTATTATCCATTATGGAAAAAAGCATCTATGCAGTACATTATACAAATCATGTTATCTGCCAAGGCCCTACATAAGGTAGTAGGTAGTTATTCAAACAAATGCATTTTTTGGTCATAAAGAAAATATTCTGGTTATAATATCTAATGAGCAGCCACAAATTCAAGAAATAGGTGTTAGGGATATACAGAGAGCTAAAGAAGAAAGTAGTGTTAAAGTTTATCAAACAAGTATGCAGGAATTCAAAGTTCCTACATTTTATGGCATAGATTATGTGGGAATTGATTTGTTGGAGTAATTTACCGTGGCCAGAGCCACCACTAACAATACAGCTCACTGATGAGCAATTGGAAAAATCAAAAGAGGATTGCATTCAGGTTATTTTTGGTATTTTGGAAAAGTTAACATGCCACAAGCTGTAGAACATTGTGTAAAGATGTTCACAGCTGTTTCTGACTCGGTTTGTGATGATATAAAAAGATGGAGTATGATATGTGTCTGCCTGCAATCTAGAAAGAATATGCCAATAATTAACACAAAAGCACATTATAACATTTGAGAACAATTTTGGCTCTATGCATGTTAATATTATGTAGTAAATGCAACTGTTCATTTCTTAACCTCCTTTAAAGAAACATGTTAATAGACTAGAAAAAAAAAATCAAAAGAGGAAATACTACAAATTATTACTTATAAAAAATGTCATATATGGCAAATTCTGAAAATTTGCTTAATTTGGCCTAAAATTACTTTAGGGGGTAATTTTTGTCCAATGCTTTTCTTGCTCTTCTTAGTTTGATTTTTTGAGGTTTTTTATAATTAATATAGAAATTAATAAATGAGAACCTTTTTTTTTTTTTTATGTTTTTTACAGCAAATATTGTTTTTTTGTGAAAAAATGCAGATATTTGGAAATATTTTTTCTGACTGGGGGTACTGCTGACCAATTTTTTTTTCTTGTATATATATATATATATATATATATATATATATATATATATATATATATATATATATATATATATATATATATATATATATATATATATATATATATATATATATATATATATATATATATATATATATATATATATATATATATATATATATATATATATATATATATATATATATATATATATATATATATATATATATATATATTGTTAAAAAGGCATGGTTACCCGCTGGCATCAGATTTTTTTTACTTTTTATTTTTTAAACATCTTCACTTCCAACAAGGCTGCAAGCAACCACTAATTAGTTTTAAAAGTTACTGGAAGAGAAAAGATAAAGATTGTAGAGCAATATAACGATTGACAGATGACTTAAACAATTGCAAATTATATGAATCAGGAAAGCAAGATAAAGGAAACGAATTCCAAAGAACTGATGTTCAAGGAAAAAAACTAGACGAATAAGAGTTTTTGGAGCACTTAGTAAAAGTAACAGAAAAAGGGTGAGACTTAATTGAATGAAAGTAACACGAGAGTTAAATTTAGTAGATGGCTCAAGAGATGCTAGCTCTTTAGAGCAGTGCCATATAGTATTTGTAGAAAAGAGAAAGAAGCAACATTACAACGATGTGATAATGGTTGAAAGTTGGCTGCAAGAGCAAGTCAATGTTTTCAATGCGTTTTTGCACCTTGTCTAAAAGAGAAAGGGCATCATTAGAAAATCCGATCCAGATATGGCAACAGTATTCCATACAAGGCTGAATTTGAGATATTTAGAGTTAGAGAATAGAATCCAGAGTAAGAAAGTGTCCAGCTTGATAAAGAGATGCAACTTTATCAGATGCTAATTTTGCAACGGATTTGATATATGGTTTAAATTATTGCTATAATGATTGGCTGAAAAAAATTGAGTTTTTTAAAGGATATTTATTTTTAAAAATTTACTTAAAATGTAATAATTACTTATAATGCCAAATTTAAATATAATATATAAATAGAATTTAATAACATGTTACTTTTTTTTATAAAGCGCACTAAAAAATGCAATTATGAAATCATTAAACGAGCTACTGCGATTCACCAGAAGAAAGATCAGATTCATGATCAGCTGCTTGTTTTAAGGGAGCAAAAAGATAAGACTTTTTGTCAAGACAAGAGTTTAAAGTTGAGTTATAAGCAAAAAGACTTTAGATTTATGATTGAATGATTATATATATAGATAAAGAACAATACAAAGCTAATGGTAAAATCTTGTGGTACTCCAGAAGTTACTGGAAATGATAAAGAGTGATGATCTTCAAGTATGATTTATACTAAAGTTTAAATACTAAATCAAATGATTTAATTATCTTTTTTTTTTTAGATACACCATATTAAGCAAGCTTATGGAGAAGACCAACATGCTCTATCAAAAGATTTTGGTAGCAGCAAACTCTGTCAAAATTTTGGTATTTCAAGAGCAATAGCCTTTGTTTTGTCGCCTCCACCTAATGCACTGAATCTTTTACTAACAGCAGTAAGCAAGTCAACCATAGAATGAGAAGATCAGATCTGTATTAATTGACAGACATTATGTTATTAGGCTCAAGATTGGATGTTCGAAGTTTGTTGATTAAAAACTCAAAGATCTAATAATATCAAAGAGCTAATAATAGAGATATGTGTATAGAAGACTGAAAATGATAGTTAAAAAAAATGATAATCAAAATTTTCAGAGTGTTCTGCAGAGTTTTTAAAATTGGAACCACAAATGTCTTATTCCAGCAAGCAGGAAAACATGATTCTGTCAAGCACTTATTAAATAGTTTAGAGAGAATTAAAGAGAGTTCTGAAACCCTATTTTAAACATATGACAGGAATATTCTTTGGATCAAATGCCATAGAAGAGTTTAATTGAGAAATTAGTATATAGTTATATAAAAGACGCATTTATCAAAAAAAAAACAAGTTTCATTAGTCAAAAGACCATGAAGAAAATCTGGAAAATAATACCAGTCAGCACTAGGGTAGTAGTCATTAGTGTGTTCAGAGAAGAAGTACAAGATAAAAGATTTATAGAGATCATTACATGGTCAGAATCAACTAAAGAAGAACAAATAAAAACTGAATACAAACTATGAATAAAACTGAATAAAAACTAAAGAGCAAATAAAAACTGAATACAAACTATGGTCATTGACAAGACCCAAATTAAGGAGTGAAGGTAAAAGATTAAAAAAAGTAAAAGGTTGTTTGGAATATCTGAGTAAGAGATTGAGAAGTTATAAGCCAGCAGTTAGAGGTGTTAGAGTCATTCAGTGTGATGAGTAATGAAAGAAATTAATCAAAATGACATTTACCTTCACAAATGTCATTTTTAAAATATTTTTTATGAAAATATTTGTGTAACTTTTCTAACTTTAAACAAACATCAGTAAAATTGTAAATAAATAGTTTCTTAAAATAAATACTAATAAACTACAATATAATAAATGCAACAAAAATTTAAATTAGAGAACAGCTGGCGTCAATTAAAAAATAAATGGCCTTGCTAGTTAATGACTAAACTTTTTTTTTTTTCATAAAGAATTTTTCATAAAGACAATTGTATTTTTGTTGTGCTTTCTAAATATGTTTTCTAGGTGTCTGGCAGTAGACTTTTTTTTTTACAATGATTAATTGAATTTTTTGTTAGTTTTAAAACAATTGGAAAGTGTTTTACACGGTGCCAATAGGCTGGCAAACACTCTGAACACAAAAAAG